CCTGAGATTTAAGTAAAGAAGCAATGTTAGGCTGGGCACAGTGGCTTATGCCTGTAATCCCAGCACTTAGGGAGGCTGAGGTGGGTGGATCACCTGAAATTAGGAGTTGGAGTCCAGTCCAACATGGTGGAACCCCATCTCTACTAAAAATACCAAAATTAGCTGGACATGGTGGTGCATGCCTGTAATCCTAGCTGCTTGGGAGGCTGAGGCAGGAGAATCACTTGAACCCGAGAGGTGGAGGTTGCAATGAACCGAGACCCCACCACTACATTCCAGCCTGGGAGACACAGCAAAACTCCATCTCAAAAAAAAAAAAGAAGCAATTTTAGCAACTTAACAACATGAACGACACTGAAGTTGAAGCAAAGCAGGGAGTTCCCTTTAAAATTGGATCACAGTTTATAAGTAGCTGTATCCAAATGGAGAGAACATGATTGCCATCCAGCACTGAAACAACCTGGCAGGTGTCTGGGCATCTTTGAGCTGAAATTCAAGCAGGGAAATGAGTCATTGGAAAAGTTCCAGTCAAAGAAGTGTTCAAAACTGAGATACCAAAGTAAAATAAAATTTGGAGGCCTTTTGGTGATCCAGAGGCAAGTGTTTCATGGATTTTTCTGTTGAGGTGCATCTCATTTTGTTGTGTATCCAAAGTGTTTTCCAAGATGCAAACTCCTTGAGAGCAGAAACATATTTCCTTCGTGCCTCATTGAATGCAGGCCAACCAGTGGCCCAATGAGGTTTGGAGGGTGTGAATGACAAGTGTAAATAAAATTGTGTTGACAGCTATTTAATTTTCATGTAGTTTCCTGTTTAACGTTCAAAAGTTCTGAATAAATGGGCATGACAAATCTCAGCGAAAGCTAAATTAATTAACACATTTTGGCTAGCTGCAGAGAGCCATTCTGCTGTCCTTGGCAGTCCGTACTGTGTGATACTCATCTTGATTATAAGTAAGGCAAGTGAGGAGGGGAAAGGAAAAATTTGTCTGTGGTGAGTTCCTTTTTTGTTGATCGGCTCCTCTAAATTCGTAGCATGGCAGACCATGCCCCGACCCATTTTCCTCTGATGGGTCTTGTTTCCCAGCCTGTAGTTCCTTTTTCACACCTGCTGCACATGTGATGATTTGTTCAGGATCTATTTATTCCCGGAGGCTCTCTGATCCCAGTGGACAGGGTCTGTATTGCCATGGCCAGGCACTGAGGGCCAGCACAAAGGCACTTGCTGGTCTAGGGGCAACTTTGGGTTGCAGTCTAACGTATTAATTCTAACTCCTCCATCTGAAATGGAAATCTGTTTTGAATTTGCTGTAAGGTTCTATGGAAGATAGCTGAGGGCCCTATAGTTGTTCAATAAATGTTTGTTATATGAAAACTAAAGGGAAGGGAAGGGAACTGCTGGGGTAAATCTCAGTTCTACTTTTTGCTCTATTCCAGGGGCTATGTCATCTTTTTCTCAAAGCAGACCTGTTTCCACCTTGCTCACATAGCTTGGCAGAAGGACACTTACATTTTCATTACATGAGCCTCTGCTGTAATTCTGCTTTTGTAAAGCTTCATGTTTTTTTTTTCTCATGGAGGCAGAGTTGAAGGTTGGAGGAGGTCACACATTTCTAAACTTCCTCACCCCTGCTTTCTTTGAGATGGAGTCTTGCTCTATCACCCAGGCTGGAGTGCATTGGTGAGATCTCAGCTCACTGCAATGTCCGCCTCCCAGGTTCAAGCAATTCTCCTGCCTCAGCCTCCCAAGTAGCTGGGACTATAGGCGCCCCACCACGACACCAGGCCTAATTTTTCTATTTTATTTTATTTTTATTAGAGTTGGGGTTTCACCATGTTGGTCAGGCTGGTCTCGAAGTCCTGACCTCAAGTGATCTGCCTGCTTCCACTTCCCAAAGTGCTGGGATTACAGGTGTGAGCCACCATGCCCGGCCCCTAACCCCTACCTTTTGATGCAATGGTTAAAAATACAAAACAGGCCTATGTGAGTGAATAAGGTACTCATTTTTGAGCAGTCACGAGCTCAAGATTCCATTCTTGGCCTATTGTTTGTATAGGAGAACACGGGACTTCCTGTCCCTACCACTTTGTGTGAGGTGTGGGGCAGCCAGCCACACTGTGCTAGCACCTAATAAGGTTGCAGATTTAATTCTAGCCCAAATCTAGACAAACTGATGTTCAAGTTAGAGCCAGCTGATGTTCAGAAAAGGCTGCCAGAATCCAACTGAGGAAATGGAGCCATAGGTTCTGTTTAAAATTCTCTCCTTTGATTTCATTTTTTCATTTTCTCCATCTACCTCTCTGCCTGCCCCCTTTCTCATTCATTGCTTACTGCTTCCTTCCCCCTCACTCTATTCATTCCTCTTCCTTCTTTGCCTCTATCCATCTTTCTGGCCCTCCCCCTCTGTCTTTTCCCTTCTCACCCTCTCTCTCCTGTTTCCTCTCCTCTCACTTTCCTTTACCTCAGTCTCTCTCTCACTCTTACTCTCTCTCAGTCTCTCTCTTGCTCTTATTTTCTCTCTCTCTCTTCCTTTGATCTACAGCCTACTGGCATCTCGTTTCTTTTCCTTCTCCTTTCCCTTTTTCTTTCTCAGAATTTCTTGATGAAACGAAAAGGGGACTAAAAGGAGCTCCATGAAATCCTTGCCTGAAAGAAAACATGGGTGGACGCGCTTCTGATCACAGGCAGCCACTAAATTTGATTTGTAGCTGATCTTAAATGTAGGAAAAGATTTTCAATTACAAAACTCATAAAGTGTAAAGATGAGGGAACTGGCCGCATTTTGAGTTTGACTAATGGTCTCAAAGCGCTTTAAAATGTTTGGCATTTGCCAGTCTCTCTTTCTTCTCCTAATCCTCAAACTCATGAGTTTTTATGGCAAACATAATCCTGTTTTCTGATTCATTTACACTTAGCTCATCTGAGTATTGTTTTGTAAAAGCCATCTGAAGTCCAAGAAGTTTTATGAGATCTTTAAAGACTTGTTTTTTGAACCAGGAAGTTGTGTACTGCCAATATAAATGGACCTTGAACTCTAGGGGGTTTGAGTCCAGCATCTATAGCATTAAACTGGGTTTTGACTTGGCAAAGGACCATCCCCATGCCTGACAGAAACTGGGCTTTCACTTTCAGAATAACAGTAAGTTTGGTGTTTTGGATAAGTGACCATCTTAGATGATAGTACATGGGGTGCATAACACGTTTTTCAAGGATTATCTTGCTAGTTACGTAAATAGCAAGGGACTTATGTGGAAAACTGCGATTTTGCTGGAGAGTGGGGCTGTTTGCTCATGTGTATATTTCCATATAAATTGTGTGTACACACACGTATACCAACGTGTAGAGGGATGGGATTGACATTCACGCTAGAGATTTATATATTTTTTAAAAATTATTTTTATTTTTATTATTTTTTTGAGATGGAGTCTCGCTCTGTCACCAGGCTGTGCCACCCAATGGCTCAATCTTGGCTCACTGCAACCTCCACCTGCAGGCTTCAAGCAATTCTCCTGCCTTAGCCTCCCGAGTAGCTGGGATTACAGGCACACACCACCACGCCCGGCTAATTTTTGTATTTTTAGTAGAGATGGGGTTTCACCATATTGCCCAGGCTGCTCTCAAACTCCTGGGCTCAAGTGATCTGCTCACCTTGGCCTCTCTAAGTACTGGGATTACAGGCATGAGCCACTGTGCCCAGCCTTACACTAGAGATTTTTTTCCCCTGTGGTTTTGTTTCAGAGATGATCTCATTGTGATATATCCAAATTTGTCATAAGGCAAGTTGTAATTGGGTTGAAGATTGGTGTGAAATGCCCACCCCTGCATTGCTGTGGGTTGAGAGGAAAATTGCATTACATATTTTTTAATGGTTAAAACATTTTTTTCTGCAGAGCCAAATGGTTAAGGTAATTTCCACCCACCCTCCCCCCCGCCAAATACAAGGATCTCAGGCAGATTCCCAGGACCTCTGGAAACTGAGGTTCAGAGAGGCAAAATAACTTGCTCAAGTTTCCATGGGACGTTGCTATGGTTTGGCTGTGTCCTCACCCAAATCTCATCCTGTAATCCTATAATCCCCACCTGTCGTGGGAGGGACCCGGTGGGAGTAATCTAATCATGGGGGTGGTTACCCTCATGCTGTTCTCGTGATAGTGAGCTCTCAGGAGATCTGATGGTTTTAAAGGGGCTTTCCCCTCTTTTGCTTTGGCACTTCTCCTTGCTGCCGCTATGTGAAGAAGAATGTGTTTGCTTCCCCTTCTGCCATAATTGTAAGTTTCCTGAGGCCTTCTTAGCCCTGCGAAACTGTGAGTCAATTAAACTTTTTTCCTTTACAAATTACCCAGTCTTGGGTATGTATTTGAAGGGTAACAACAGACTCATACAGAAGTAAAGCAGCAGGTAGAGCCCAGCCCTGCAGAGTCCCCGTCCAGGCTGTACCATTCACAGGTAGCTGCCACTTACTGCCCAAAAGCAGCTCTGATGCTTGCCATCTGTCCATCTGGGGCCTGGGAGTGACCCACCAGAACAGCCAATCCACCACTGAAGACAGGTAGAGGCTGGTCTTGCTGGGGACGTTGTGCTTTACTCTTTCCTGAGCTTTTAACTATATGACATCTTTCGCCTGTCCTGGTTCTGCAGAATGTTGTAGCTATGCTACTCACCCTCCTCCTACCTTCCATCCATTTCAACTGCTGTTACATAATAATCCCCATCTGAGCGGTAAGAGCTCTGTGAACTGATCTGAGTTGCAGGTAGGAAAGATTTTCCCTACATGTTGGTGAATTTTCCGTAAGATGACAAAGAATTGTGGGCTGTACTATGATACAGGCATCATACAAATCATGTCCTCCCTTGTGAGAGGTCTATCATGATCTTAAAGTGTTGCTTCATTCAGTTGTTTATCTTTCTTAAGTTTTCATTTATATCTTCTCTCCCTAACAAGATAGCAAGTTTCTTAAAGACAAAGGCTTTATGCCTTGTGATCCTTTGTATTTCCACAGCCTCGGCGTCTCCTTCAGAGATAGAGTGGATATTTACTAGCTTCTGTTGTATCCTTCATACAGAACCTCGTGCTGAGAGACAGCTTCTTTTTTTGTTTTTTGAACTTTTCTTAAGACTAGTCAAGTACCATATCAAGAAGAGGGGAAAGAGTAGAACAGGGAGTTGGATCTGTAACTGACTGTGAACAATCGAGGTAAGTCATTACCTTCGAACCAACCTGGGAGGCAGCCTTGTGACTCATCTCCTTCCTCAATCTTCTCAGCTAGTTTACTTTGGCATGGCTCAGAGGCTGACCTAGAATGCTCCTGTCCAGAGGGACCCTGGATGTTCTTAGAGATATAGACAGCTAGGGCTGGAAGGGACTTTTCATCCAATTCTTCTGTGACAGAGGAGGAAGTGGAGGTTCAGAAGGAGAGGTGAGCTCCATATGGTCCTTCAGCTGACCAATGGAAGTGTTAGGACTGGACTTGAGGGCTCTTCCCTCCAGTCCAGCGCTATTTATTCCATGACAGTGCCTCCCAAACTGTGTTCTCACAGGCAGCTGGTGCTCAGGCAGCTGGACTGAGGCCCTGGCTGCCAAATCAAATATTGGAGGTCTTTCTCCAATGCACAGAAAAAAAAAAATTAATTAATGGGTTAAGTTTCCTTAGGCTTAAATGATTTTTTCCATTAATTCTTCTTAAACCATTGTCACCTGCTACCAATTGTCTACTAGCCAACAAAAGCAGGCAACAAAACAAAAGGGGAAGCCGCAAGTAAATAAGAACAAGAACCGCCAAAGCCTTGGAAACACACTTCATTCTTAAGTTAAAGACTTAAAAAAAAAAAAAAAAAGACTGCTATGACCATGGACTTTCGTATTCACATAACAAAACCGTGCATACTACTGGTGACGTTGTTTTGAATTCAAATGCTGAAAGTAAATATATCATTATTTCATGGTTTTCTCCAAAGAGGACTATGACCCCCCCAGGACTATCCCTGGAACATTCTGCCATCTCTCTTAAGGGTCAGGTCACCTCCAAGCTGGGTGACCTGTCGGATTAAGGTCCGGTGAACGGATCCATCTTTATTAAAAACAATAATGGCGTAGGGTTGTCAGGGATCCTGAACTCTACTCCTAACCTAAAGGCACAGGGACAGGGCTGTCTCTGCGGTTGTCCCTGGGCGGTTCTCCCCGTCCACGCGGGCGCCCTCTGCTGCCCGCCCTGCACTCCCATATCTGCCAAGCGAGGAGTGGGGTACCAGAGGCTGCAGACCGAAAAGCAGCCACTGGGACTTTACAGCCCCACAGACAGCCACCTAAAGCCTCTCCGAAGGAGACCTCAGCGCGCCCCGACAGCCCTTTCTGGGGCCCGATTTGGTATTTGAATTCAACCCCGTAGCAAGTATCCCAGCAAACACGGATAAGAAAATGCGAGGGCTTCCAAATAGTATCAAACGCATGGGGCTTGGGAAAGGACAGGACCGTTGAGTAACTTTGCTGAGCCCTTTGTCCTCTCCCGGGACACGGGACCGGGGCGTGGGGACCTCCGCCTCGGCGACCTACGGGAGCAACCCCTGTGGATGTGGAGGGTGGCGGCGCGCTCTCGGGCTCCTCGCACGCCTTCCCCAATTAGGTTCTGCCGCCTGACGTCACGTCTGCCGGAGATTGGCTGCTCAGGTCTGACACCCGGGGCCACGGGAGAGAAACTTTTAAAAGACTTCGCCGCCGGGGCTGCCTCGGAGTGTCCCGCGCGCTCTCTCGCTCGTCCTCGGCCACCCTCGCCGGGCCCCGCTGCGGCGCGCGCTGCACCCTCGGCCGGGCGCGCCGACCCTCACCTTGCGCGGCCCGCTCCTCTCGCCCCTCCCCGCCCCCCGGGCTCCGCGCTCCCCACCCCCACGCCCGCCCCCCGCTCCCCGCCGCAATCAGCCGGGGTCTGGGGCCACTCAGCCGCCCGCGGAGCTTCCTCCCTCGCCACTGACTTGGGCTCCTCCCGCCTTTCCCGGGCTCTCGCCTGCTCTCGGGGAAGCCCGAGCGCGCGGGGAAGGGCAAGCCGCGCGGGGAAGGGCGAGCCGCACGGCCGGGGGAGGGAGCCAGACCGCGCGCGGCCAGTCTCGCCGGCTGGGGCCCGCGATGGCGGGGACCTGGCTCAGGTGGGGGCTCCTGCTCTGGGCAGGGCTGCTCGCGTCGTCGGCGCACGGCCGGGTGCGGAGGATCACCTACGTGGTGCGCCCGGGCCCCGGCCTGGCGGCAGGCGCCTTGCCCCTGAGCGGGCCCCCGAGTCCGCGGACCTTCAACGTCGCGCTCAACGCCAGGTACAGCCGCAGCTCGGCGTCCGCCGGCGCCCCCAGCCGCGCCTCCCTCAGGGTCCCCTCGGAGCGGACCCGGCGCACAAGCAAGCCCGGCGGCGCGGCCCTGCAGGGGCTCCGACCACCGCCGCCACCGCCGCCGGAGCCGGCGCGTCCCGGGCCCCCCGGCGGGCAGTTCCACCCCAACCCCGGCGGCCACCCGGCGGCCGCCCCGTTCGCCAGACAAGACAGGGAAGTCTTGCGCTCCAAGGTGCCGCTGGAGACCCAGAGCGGCGGGGGCTCCAGGCTGCAGGTTCACCAGAAGCAGCAGCTGCAGGGGTAAGCCCACACCCCCTTCCGCTCGCCCGCCCGCCTGCCTCGCGCGCGCTGCGGGCGGAGGGACCCGCGGGGTCAGGGCCACTTGGAGCCCCGCAGTGGCCAGGGCGGTCGCGCGCGGTGGGTCGGCTTTCTCCTGCCAGCCTCCGCCTTCGCTGAGCGCCGCGGGAAGAGCAGAGTGCGGGGAAGTCCAGGAACTGTTGCAAACGCTGAACTCCCAGTGCATTGTTACCGAGCTGCGGGTAAACACAAAAGGCATTTCTGCCTGGGGCGTAACCTCCTCGTGCAAACCCAACTGTTCCTAGAAGATGGGCGTAAACATGAGGTCACTACAGTTAAATCCCTCAGCATCAATTAAATTCTTTGCAACTGAGTTTTAATTTTGGTCTAGCTAATGAAAAAAATGTTTCGAGGCAGGGCTAGCCGTAAAGATCCAGCCCCTGTTCTGTGGCCTGGAAATTTTCATTTTCAGCATCAGATAAATAGTGGGCTTGGGCTTCCCTGCACCTGTGGGGTCTGCTTTCCTGGAGCGCAGTGTCTTGGTATTGATACAAGTTTTGGTTGGACTGTTTCTGTTATTGGGTGTTCCTAGCCTCTTCCCTTTGTGGGTCCCCTCTTTCCCCCAGTTCATCTCAGGTTGGGGTGTAGGGAAAACTTGTTTTGCTTATTTGGCATGTTTTCTTCAGGGGTGATTCCAGGCCATGTGACCTCACTCCTTTTTGGACACTTCTCTCTGAAACTGATTTTCAGTTTAAAATGTTGGCCCAGATAATAGAAAAATAAATTTGACTCTACTGTGATGTGGGGGTAAGAAAACCATTTGTTTGGCCCTGGTTCTCCCCTCCTGTATAGCCCTAGGTTACGTAGGATTTTTGGTTCCCTCACCATTCCCGGATATATGGGCCTTGCCACTCTGCTTGGGCAGCTTTGGGTTGGGCATCCAGCGTACCTGTTAGGACTCTCTCTCGTCCAGAAGGATGCAGAAGCTGGAGGCTGGCCTTTCTGGAACCTGCTGGAAGCTTGGGTTCTTGGGAAGGGAGTCTTTCTGCTGCTGGACTCAGCGGTCTTGCTTTGTTTCAGGGTCAATGTTTGTGGAGAGCGGTGCTGTCACGGCTGGAGTAAGGCCCCTGGCTCCCAGAGGTGCACCAAACGTAAGTTGCCAAGTTCACAGTGGCCCTGCACAGTAGACAAAGTGGGGCTGTCCACATGGGGGCATCTCACAAGGGCCACTTGAAAGGGCTCTGGGGAAGCTGAAGTACAATCCATCCTTTTCCTGCAGGCTTCATTACCACCTAGGAAGGGCTGGGTCAGGGTAGTGTTAGTGTCAATGCCAGCGGCAATGCATTGCACAGAACCGTGCTATGCAGCCAAGATTTCTCTGAACTCAGTGGAGATATGCATTACTCTGGCACATCTGTGAATCAGGAGCTAGGAAAAAAATTTCCATTTAAGAATATGCCATATGGCAGAACCAATATAATTAATTTAAACATGGTACCAACAAATTAAAGACATTCTTTATGGTGGTGGCAGGAGGGGATTGGGGAGTAGAGGGCCCTATTGTAGAGTAAAACATCAATAGTTTCTGAAATCAGAACCCTTCATCCTTGAGGCCTGATGGTTTTCTAGAATGCGATTCTCTATGCTCTTCAGAACTGATGGGTGGGGTTCTCTGCAGTGCTTCTTCAGTTCATATGCATGCCCAGAAGTGTTTTAGAAAAATGTATTAATGATGCATATAGATTTGAGAACACTGGAGATTTTTTTCTCCTGTGCATTGTGAAGGTAAGGATCAAGTTAAAATGTATTTTGAGGCTCTTCTTGACAAATTGATGGTATCGGGTGTTCATTGGAAATAAAGGAGTCTTACTTCCCCCTCAGAAAAAGTGAAGCATTCTTAGTTGTTTTTTGCATGGAGATTGAGGCATTCCCATGTGGACTGGAATTGTTCGAAATTTCTGCTGCTTGGATTTTAAATACAGGTGGATGAATTAAAAAAATTTCAGATACAGTCAATTGAGTGACCTTGTTTGTTGAAAAACGTCTTCAATCCTGAAGGAAACAGAAGGACTTTGGCATAATGGCCTTATTTTTGTAAAAGGGAATGTCCACATGTTTTATGATGTCTTCCGATTAAGGAGTAATGGCAGACATGAGCAACCTTCTGACTATTGAACTGAAACCATTAGATCAGAAATGCTCAGGGTTCTAGGCATTTTAGATTAAATTGTAATTTTTCATTTTTTAACTTTTTAAGTTATACTTGTCAGAAATGTATTAGCATTTATTTAGAATTTAGCATTGCTCAGGCCAAATGACATGCCCGTCCGTCCCCACAGTAACTCATTCTTGTCCAAAACCTGCTATGATATTGTTTGCCTGTAACATGGAGATAACTCATCTGTCACAGCACCATTACAATGGGTTATTGCTGTGTAAAGGTTAAAAATACAGAATAGGGCTGGGCACGGTGGCTCATGCCTGTAATCCCAGCACTTTGGGAGGCCAAGGCAGGCAGATCACTTGAGGTCAGGAGTTGGAGACCAGCCTGGCCAACATGGTGAAACCCTGTCTCCGCTAAAAAATTAGCCAGTAGATTGGGCATGGTGGCTCACGCCTCTAATCCCAGCACTTTGGGAGGCCAAGGTGGGTGGATCACTTGAGGCCAGGAGTTTGAGACCAGCCTGGGCAACATGGCGAAACCCCATCTCAACTAAAATTACTAAAAAATTATTTGGGTGTGGCGGCGTGCGCCTGTAATCCCAGCTACTGGGGAGACTGAGGCAGGAGAACCACTTGACACCAGGAGGTGAAGGTTGCAGTGAGCTGAGATTGCGCTGCTGCACTCCAGCCTGGGCAACAATGACTCTGTCGTAAAAAGAAAATAAAAAAAAAATTAGCCAGGCATGGGGGCCCATGCCTGTAATTTCAGCTACTCACGAGTCTGAGGCAAGAGAATCGCTTGTACCTGGGAGGGGGAGATTGCAGTGAGCAGAGATTGTGCTGGGTGATGTAGAGAGACTTTGTCTCAAAAAAAGAAAAAACTTCAGAGCAGGATTTTATAGATGGGCAGATGCTCCTTGATGCCTTAGAGAGAATGCTCTAAGGCTTTAATAAGTTTGCTTGGCAAATGATGCAGTTGAGTGCCCTCTCTGAAAAGAAGATAGGCCCCCATTTTCAGGTTGCCTGGAGATCTGGGGATCTAGAGATGTTCTAGAAAATCCCAGGATGCTCCAGATCTTGAGGAATCACCTCATGGCTTCCTGCTTCTCCAGGCAAGAGAGGCAGAGACTTGTGTGCCTAG